ATAAAACAATTTTTCTCAGTACATCATAGTTTATCGTACATAACGGTATCTTATATTCCATGCATAACAAAACGGAATGCATGAAACAATTATAGTATAATTTCCTAACCAACTCTAATAATGCATTCCAAAATGTAAGAAGGGGTAGCAATTTTTAAAATAATTAAATAAATAACTTAATTAAATTAATTTTTAATTAGTTTTTTGAGCTAATGCTAGATATATTTCAGTTAAAACCACAAAAAAGCAGTCGTCTTTTTTTTCTGTCTTCATATCATTATCTTGTAAGATTCCAAACCTAGAAGTTCCTGCAATGTGTCTGGAACGTTAAGCGAATAATCGATTTAGTTCGGTAGACAGAGAACAGATACTCCAGAAGGGTTAAATACCCTTTATTATACAAATAAAGTTCACAGAAGACTTCTTCTTGGAGTTTACAATAAAGCCTCCACTCGGGCTTGAACTCAGGAAACTAAAAAATATAACTTAACTAATCTTAATTAAAAAGATATAGCCGAAGCTATCAAGATTCTAACAGAGTTGGCCCCTTAACGCGAACTAACGGCGAAGCTATCAAGGGCCTTAGGTGCGGCCGAGCGTAATAATAGCTTAAGAGAGAAAGTAGCCTAAAAGGCGAACGCGCGCTGCTCAGAATATCTGGCTCTCTAACTCAGTAGAACTTCGCAGTGAAATACTTCTTCTCCTCGTTTGCATTTGTCCGCGATGCTGAAAATACGTTCTGGCCGGAAGTTGTAAGCTAAAAAGCCGGAAGTTATATATAAGCAAACAATAAGGAAATCATTTCGAGGAAACATTTCCTGAAACTTGTAGGGTTTATATTTATTTTAACTAACATTTATTTTAAGTTTAAATTATCTTTCCTGTCAAGCCTTACTTTCCTTTGGAATTGCCAATGCCAGAGTATGTAAATTTTAGTAGAACGCGCAAGGATTCAAATTGTCAGCGGAAGTAAGCTGAGTTAAATAGAAGGGAAACGAGTTCGAAAGGGTGCTTTCTTGCTTCACGAGCGTGGAGGTGGCTAGTTAGAAACTGAAGAACCACGCGTTTCGGCCTGTGTGCTTGCCTCGGCAAATTGTTAATCTTTCAACGTAATATTCAGAGTTTGCTGAATTATCAGCGGTATTTTAAAACGCGGTGAGGTTAGTTACGTTTAGAGAGCCTCGTAGTTAGTTACTTGTTACTATTCTTTTCTTAGTTTCTTATTTTTATTTTACCGCCGGGTCGGCGTAGTTTGTGAGCGTCAAGAGCACGCATTTGTAATTTCTAAAGTTGAATAAAAAGGGATTTTAACCCTTCTCAAGACTTTGGTCTACTTTCCAGTTCTTAGCAATCACCACTATTGTTGCGTGCAGGTTGGAAGCGCGCAACGTTACAAACTGTTCAAACTTTAAGCTGCCTATCTTTACAAAAATTATTTTTACTTTATTAGAAATTTTCATTTACAGAGTTAAAAGGAGAAATTAAAACAAAGGAACTATATAGCCGATAACCTGTGCAAGTGCACTTAAAAAAGAAATAAGCATATTTCCAAATGTTTTCGAACACGTCTGACGAACTCAGCACTGTTTTCTTTAAGCTTTGCTGCGATTACATTTCAGAACTGTTCTTGTTTAACGTATTTAATGATCTACTGCATATAAATGTTTTTTTGCTTCAGTTGGAAGTTAAACACGCCATGATATTGCAAAAATTTAAATCCTTTGCTATAATTTCTAATATAAAAATCAAATTTGCGTCGCATTAAATTGATAGGTATCATTGCCATGGACACACAAGATTTAGAAAAACATTTTTAACTTCGACAAATTTTATTTATTATAATAGATACGTGCTTCACGCAGTTAGGGGATATAAAATAAAAATAAGGTGTGTCTTTTACATAGTAATAACAATATTCACTCTCAGAATATAAATTCCAAGCCAATTTTATTCCGCCTGCTAAATTCAGAAACTGCAAATGCTATAACTTGGCAATGGTTACAAATAAAGTGAATTTTCTCCGCCTCCGTCACTATATGGACATTTCGTTTTACAAGGAAGAATATTTGAGACCTCTTCCTTTTTCGTTTCCCGGACGAGTGGAGATAAAATTACTCTGCAATTTCTACTTGTGAAAACTTTATTACCCTATTAGGAATGATCTCACACCCAAAGATCAGAACCATTCTTGATTCTGTGAAATGAAAGTTTTTCAGAGATTCAAAAATTGCCCTTGCGCCCTATGCCTTAATGTTTTTTATATCATGCATTTATTCCTTTCTTTAAACATATGAACACGCATATATATATAAACTCACCCCCCCCACACACATATATATATATACATTTGGAAGAAATTTGCTTGAAATTTTTTTGTTATTCTTAGAATATTGTAATTTTTTATAAATCATATTCTTTCATTTTATATCCATAAAATGATGTTCAATATTAAGTTAATAAAATTAATAATACGACTGAAAAGTTAGAAAACTCATATTTTAAAATTCGCCTTACATACGTTTGCAAGGGTTAAATGGGTTCGCCTAATGACGAATTATTTTTTTCATATAATATGAAGACGAAGCAGGTGTTTTTGCGTTAAAGATCTTAACGAAGGCGTCTTATTTGAGACAGAGAGCCCACTAGCGGCTGAGAGGTAAAGTCGCTGAACACTGGTAGTTCCGTCCGAGGTTCGAATCCCGCAAATGGGCTGGCTGCATGGGCGCTTTCGTGGTTTTTCCATTTGTAATATGTATACGAGCCAATTACAGTTAGAAAGTCCTCCCCGAAGGTATTCCTTCCTTTAGGCAGATAGTCGTCGAGGCTTTGCCGTAATCACATAAACCAAACCAAACTTTTCTTAGCTTTTGCTTATCAAGCATAAAATCTGGAGTCTGTCTAAAGATTGTTCCATCCAGTCAACAATATATTTTGATGCAAAAAATATTATAATCTGTTTAAATAAGAAGTCAGTTTTTATCAGTTAGAATCACTTATAGCATCACTTTAATCAATGAAGATAAAAATATTATTTTCAAAAATTAAATGAATTGGAAACTTTAACAAGAAAATTTCAAAATGATAAGTTCTGACTAATCATTGCATTTTACGCATTCTAAACAAAGCGAATTGTTATTAAAAAAGGATTAAAATAAATTTCTAATTTAAAGAGAAAATAAATTTGTAATTTAAATATATAATACACTTATTGGGAAGACGTCAGCATAAAATGCATCATATAAACATTTAGTATCAACAGATCAAAATAAAATACCCCTTTTGCATAAATGCTTCGTATAGAAATATTATGCATTGTTAATTTTCAAAAAAGCTAAACTTCGATGAAATTAAATTTCAGCATGGACTTAATCCTGAAAACATAACATACATATTTTTGTATCAGCTTTGAAAATATATCTTAGTCGAAATAATTATTCAAATTCTGATATTTTTGAGAGCATTAGTATTAATAAGTTAGTGTATCTTTATTATATATTTTATGAACGTCGTTTGGGTTTGGGAAGTGTCTGAATTTCTGTAGTTTCGAGATAAAACATTCTTCTTTCTTTTCTAGGAAAAAGTTTTTAATTATGATATTATTATTTAATTATGATATCTCAAAGGAAATCATATTCCAATTTACATTTTTATTATGGTACACAGAATTACTATCTTACTAAAAATAAAAAAGAGGTGTTAAATTTTATACCGAAGTAAGCTTAAATGCAAGAAGAATAATTTTTTTGACAAGTTTTATAAAAAACAGTAATTTAAACATATTTGAAATATGTTATGGTACGCAGCATTTGCATAATATAAAAGACGTCACAAAAGAAATTCTTTGTAAAAAAGGGAGTGACGAAAGAGGCACGATGAGATTTAAAAAAGTTGAAGAGAATTGTTTTTTACCGCGATTTTTCTGAAATCCAAACCATCAGTGAAATAAAGCGAATGAAAATCAAAAATCCCAGGGAAAAGAAAACACGGATTTCTTGGAATAAAACAGAAAATGAACTCCAAAATATGAATACAAGTACTGCACTGCGTAAGGACGTGCAGAGAAAGGTTAAAAAAATAAAGCGAAAAAATAAATAAGAGCTGCCCGCATTTTTGGATGATGAAATACTTTATGTTTTCCTTTCTCACAATTTTATCCTGGAAAGCAGTTTACCTGCTTAGTCGAAGCGAATTTTGCATCTGCTAGAATGCAGTAAAGTTCGCAAATTATCACTGTATTTTCAAAATGTCTATCACTTTTATAATATGCAATATATAACTACATATGAGTGTTTATTTATAAATGTTACACAATTTCTCTGTTGCGTTAAAGGAAATTTACTTGTTAAAAATATTTTAAACAGATCGCTGTAATTAAGTTAATATACTAAAATCATTTTGAAAATAAGAATTTTGTGCAATATCTTGTTCTATTATATTTCAGATAACGAACTAAAACCAAAATTTTGTTAATTAAAATGTATGCTTGTTGCCGAAAAAAAAGGTAACAGTTTTAAAAATTCGGAATAGTTTTGCAAAACCATATTAAATAATTACTTTACAAAATGCGAATAAATTTACAAACATTTGTAATGCAAATAAACTACTAAAGATTTGATTACTGATAAAAGAATGAAACTAGAAAATCGGCACAAAATATTTAGCAAAATTAAAGTCAGATTATTTGTTTTAAAAATATAAGTTACAATCTATGTGTATAATTGCAAGATATATTGTAAAATATGCATTTGATTTCATAAAACCCTGCTCACATTGAAACGCAAAGTTCATGAGAGTAAGATATTATTTTTGCTTTTTCTTGTATAAATGCTAAATGTAGTTTGGTATTTTATGCTTTAGAATATGCTTTAGAATGACTGGAAAAATAAGTCGCTTAAATTATCTCTATATACTATTAGTTGTTTTCTTTGTAAAAGCAAATATTAAACATTTCTAACTTTATTGTTATTTCCTTTTATTAATTAAATAGAAAGCAACACGATTTATTTTAATGACAGTGCTAAAAAAGATTAAAATTCATTTACGAAGGATTTTACATTAGAATGCTGACAAGAAAACATAATAGTTCTGTTGAACTCTTCTAATATTCGCCAGGTTTACATGAGTGATATTGTTATAAAAGTAGTTACATTACCTCTTCTAGCTCCAAATGAATATTTCAACTTGAATATCTTGAGGAAACACTGAAGTATTATTTTACATAACCTCTTCTCGTATATTTACAAATTTTAATCAGCCTTTTTTCTTCTTAATACTGTTTGTTACATCTTGAATTCATATATTTTAACAGGAAGTGAATCTACATCCATTAATTTAACTTGCACTGGGAAAATCAAAAACACGATAGAAATTCAACAACAGTTAAACTCTTCTTTTAATAGTGGTTTGTAACAAAATACGAATGCATTCCATGCGAAAATATATTCCCTGTTGTTTGAATTAATCAGTGAGAATGTAAAGTCCAAAGTAAAACTTCAAACTTTCAAACCTTTCTTCGGATTCCTTTCTTTGAAAATAATCCTGAAAGAGAGATAAGATATATTATTGCAAACTATAACTTAATTCATCTATTGCATTATTTTAAAAAGCAAATGTAAAATGCACATGGATGTTAAAAAAAACATTAGAAATTTGAAAAACGTGTATCAAATTAGGTATATAGTAAACTTTTTGAAAAGAAAATTTATTTTGGTTTAATAAACTACGTTTCAAAGGTTATATTACAGAACATTTAAACTTCAAGAATACTTACATCTTTAAGAAAGTATGATTTTGTCCAAAATGATGAAATAATATTAGATACGTCAAAGCAAAACCTTTTACATGCATATTTATTAGAAATATACAAAAGCAAAAATAAACTGCAGAAATCTTTCTCGAAGTATTAAAATTAGCAGCAGAACGTTAACAAAACCAGTGCATTAAAATTTTATTGAAAATTTGAATATTTTGTTATTTTTCCTAGAACTTTTATAAATATTATTTTCATAATGCAAGTGTGATTCAAACAATAAAATTAACTATATATTTGTAAACAGCAATGATTTTATTCTTGTAAAGCGCTCTTTAATTTGGAAGAAGCTAAACATAAATTTACGTCATGTTTCTATGTTTCACGGAATGTGCTGTTCGTTCAAAAACTAAACGTACAGAAGTTCATTATTGCACCATTTTATATTTATTTTAATTAGCGTTACAAATCAAAGAAATTTTTAGCTTGTTTCGATTAATTTTTCTTGTTAGAAGAAAACTCTTTTTGAGAATTAAATTATGTGAAGAAATTTTGAATAAAATGAGAATGGAGATCAGTATGCACACATTCTAACAAATATTATGCTGCTGTATAAATATTATCAATTTTTGTAGTGAATTACAGTTTACTGCTTGATCGTATTTCACTGAATTAGCACTAGCATTATAATGACTGTTTAAAATTCGTTATTACTCCATTTGGAAAAATATCCGTATCCTAATACTGTAAATTTGGAAAAATATCCGTATCCTAATACTGTAAAGTCTTTTAACTACGTAATAATACGTAGTTAAAAGACTGACAGTATAATATTGAATATTAAAAAGCAAAACATTTAAATCCAAAACTATGGACCGAGAAAGAGTCTGCAGTATTAAAATATTTCTGAAATCTTAAAATATATATTTTAGAAAAAAGGTATTTTAAAAAGCACTCACCTTATTATCGTCTACCGCAGACCATAAATCGAATATCCTTGATTGCTTTCTTGCCAAACGAATAACGCTCTTGAAAGCAGAAAACAAAAGTCTTCTTTCCTCTTTATTAGGGAGACGGCTGACATTATCTCTCGAAATGGAATAAATGACTCTTAAGAAAATGAAGTACATTTCCCCCACATTTAGAACATATATTTTGATTTGGAATGGTTGCGCAAACACGAACCCTCAAATTTTAACACTTCACTGAATCATATACGTGGCTTGCATTAATGAATGGCGAAAGATAAAATTGAGTCGAAGAGAATTCTAGGATATCTGAAACGTACTTTAGAAAAGATTTGTTGCTATTGAATAATAATTTCCTTTGTGCGTGTGTAGTGATTTCCAAATTGTCACTCAAACCGAGCAGAACGGTTATTTCTTTTTTTTTTTAAAAAAATATACAAATAAAACTTATATTTAATGGCAATTCATTCTTGTTTTAAAGAGATTTCTTCAAAATTTCCCATCAACTTTTTCATGAATCACTTTTCTTTTATGTTTCAGATTTCTTAAGGAAAAGAAAAGTGCATTTTTTCTCATTGTTTCTGCGACCCGCTGTGAATGAACAAAGGAAATGAAACATGATTTATGCATCAAGTTTTACGTGTGTGGTATTTTATATATCTCAGTTTCTTAGAAATTACGTTGATCACGATTTCAAATTTAAGATAGATTATTAACATGTATATGTAGTAATGCAAATTGTTTGGCAAATGATGCAAATTTAGGAGCTATTTTATGGTTTCATAATACCTGCACATCACTGACATGAAAGATCTGGATTCATACTCCAATAATGGTATCCAAATGTATTATTTATATCGTTTGCTAACATTTTGTTGAACGTTAAGCTTCATAATTCATATTTAGCTTAATTTCCAAGATTCTATTAAATGCTCTCTTTTATTAAAAGTGCCGATCTCTTAAATTGTTTAAACGTTAGTCATTCATTTTTTCATTTTTTCCATTATTAATACTTTGATGCAAAGGAAATGTTTAGCCACTGATGGAATAAATATTACCACTCAAAGTTGATAAGCGAACATAAGGTATGTGAGATTGTCGAAGATTTCAATGTGGAACTTAATAAATTTGGGGTGCACTGGAGAATGCCTCTATAATACCTGATCGAAAGAGAAAGAACAACATGTAAACCACAAACGGTTGGGCACAATAAAATATGCGCATTCACGTAATGCACGTAGCAGAATGTACTCTGGGCATGTAGGAAGGACATAAAGCTCCACATGCTACCCATTGAAGATGGAGTTTTCGGAGACTGAAGAGCTCAGCAATCAAATATAATACTCGGTATTGATTACAGCCGATTCCGTTTGACTAGATTTTAGACTTGAAACGAAGTGCAGGAAGTGATCAAGTAATCAAGATATGAAGTTTCTCGTTTTCGGATGGTCGTATCTCTCTAAATTTTATAAGGAATTTCATATGTGATGACCACTGTTGTAGCGAGTTTCCCCTTCCTAATGTGCAACCTTTCTGATTTTGTAGGCTCTGAACGTACTTCATGGACGATAACCCTACAGTTCAACGGATAGCCGCTATCACTGGGCTATTGTAGAACGAAAATATTCATCGCACAGAATGGCCCGTATTATTCGAGGATCTAAGTCCAGTTGAGCATTTGTTGAACGTTTTCAGGAGACGTGCAGCAACTTATTGCCAGCCACTGGCAATGACGTCTTAGCAATGATCTGTGCTATAATATAATGTGAAAAACGAATGAGCCATGAAGCTTAAAAACCCCAGACGACAGCTAATTTAGTATGAACAGACGTTGGTTGCACATCCTGCATCGCACTCAAGTGTGATCATATTCTGTATCCCGTTACACTCGAAACTCGCAATTCTGCATTCTTAAATTCTTTTCTTGGGAAGTGGTATTTGCAGTAATCTCGACGATGTTATGATAAGCTTCGTACTGATTTTCAAACAATATTGTGTACCGCCACTTGTCAAAACCCGTCTAGTCCTCAATTTCTGCATGCTAGTACAAATTTAACAGTCACAAAAAGTCAATCAATGTTTTATCAGGAAAGGGAGAATAAAAAATGGCTGATAATTTAATATACATTGTGTCTAGTCGCTTTATTGATGCTGTGCTTAATGAGCGTTGATAATTGATTTTTATGCGAACTGAAGAAAACAGCAGAATTGATCAAAAACACCTAAAACGGACACCCAAATAAGCCGTGAAGTACTTTTCACACAAGAATATAAACTATATTTATTTGAAGTTGATGGTCGAAAAATAGTTTCAAGATTTCAGTTTTAACTCAAAGTACACTGGTGAAATAAATTAAAATAATTTGCATATTTTATCGAATTGCACGATAAGAACTGAACTGAAGGAAAAACTGCTTCTTCTAGATAAAAATACATATCTTGAACGGCAAATACGTAAACGTACACGTGTGTGTAGGCGGAGACAGCAGAAAAACAGGCTTTATAAGCGCGTGGAGGCTAAGACGAATTGCATTCGCTAGCACAGCTCGGCGAATTTCTTGGTGTTATCTTGCAGCATTAGGTTAAATTCACATCGGAATAGTAAAAATGTGTAACCGCTAACGTTTAGATGATGGAATGAGGTGGCGAATTGTAGGCAGGCTAGAGGTAATCAATCGCAAGTCCAGATATGCAGAGAGTTTAATTTAACGCCCAGCGTCGTGTGTACCTATGGAAACAGATCCAGGATACTGTATCCATCGAGAGAAATCCTGGGATCGTCCAAGAACCACGAAGGTCAGGGAAAATCGCAATATTTCCATTTTAGTGAGGCATAACAGAGGGGCTACAGCTTCTCAGCTCTCTCGGCACCTGTATGCAGCCGCCAGGGAAGATCGCAATATTTCCATTTTAGCAAGGCGTAACAGAGGATCTATAGCTTCTCACAGCACCTGTATGCAGCCACAGGAACCCGTGTAACAAGGGTGACTGTTTCCAAAAGACTGAATGAGAGAGGGTTGTTTGCCAGAAGCGGCTGTTTGCGTCCCGCTCATGTTTACGGACAGGAGAGTCCGATTAGCATGGTGCAGGCAGCATAGTGATTGGAGTACGGAGCAATGGGCGACACCGTTCTGTTCACCGACGAGTCCCGTTTTAGCCTAAACACCGATTCTCGCCGTACTTTTATATGGAGAGAGCCAGGAACCCGCTACCTACCCTCCAATGTCCTCGAAATCAACATTTATGGCGGTGGCAGTGTAATGGTCTGGGCAGGCATCATGTTGGATAGCTTAACACTTCTCCACGTCTTTGACAGAGGCTCTGTGACTGGTGTAAGGTATAGGGATGTGGTCTTGGAGCACTATGATCGCCTTTTCCGGGGTACGGTGGGCCCCGAAAATCCTTCATCTTACAGGACGATAACGCGAGGCCACATAGAGCTCTTCTGGTCTATGAATTTCTCGAGAGTGAGGATATTCGCTGGATGGATTGGCCAGCCAGGTCTCCACACCACAACCCTATAGATTATGTCTGAGACGCTCTGGGGGAGAATAATTGCAACTCGCAACATCCCTCTAAGAACCATCCAGGAACTGAAAACCGCGTTGTTGAATGAGTGGGACTAATTGCCACAGGCACTGATAAACTGCCTTATTTCCAGTATGACATCACGCTGCGAGGCCTATATGGCTGTGAAAGGGGAACATACCCCCTATTAACCCATATCTTTTGTGTCTTCTGCAACCGCTTTTTCAGACCTTTAGACTCCCATGAGTGTTACACACGAGCATGTGTGTCTATTATAGCAGTTGAATGTTTAT